CTAACTCCCACCAGGACCGGATCGCCGTCATCGGCTACCGCTACTGCTACTCCACCATCAGCGCGGTCGGCGTTGCGGCAGCGTGATGCTGCTGCTGACGCTGCGGAACGCACGGTTCCGCACCGCCGGCGTCTTCACCTACCTGCGCTGTCTGATGTTCTCCGACTGCGCCCTGCTGACCACCGCCGGAGCCACGCTGCTGGTGGAGTCTTGGCAGCCGACACTCAGCTGTGACGGTCGCCCAGTAGCGTGCGGTCGCGAGCTCAGGCCGTCTCCAGGTGGCTCTGGGAGCCGTTCACCACGCCATGATCGGACTCAGCATGGCCGTCACGCTTTGGATGACGTACGACAGGTACGAGGCGGTGCGCTCGCCGCGAGACCTGCTGCGGCAGCCGCGGCGGGCGCAGCGCTGCGGCGGCCGCTCCTCCGCGTCGTCGCCTCGCTGGGCGCCTCGCTCCTGCTGCACTCGCCGCTGATGCTCGGCTACACGGTGGTGCGCCACTGCCCGGTCGGCGGGCGCGACTTCTACGAGTTGACGCTGAACGAGAGCGTGGTGCACCAGCCCGCTTTGGACGTGCTACCAGTGGGCGCTGCAGCTGCTGGTCCGCTGGCTGCCGGCCGCGCTCGTGCTCTTCTGCAACTGCACATCATCGCGGTCATCTCGAGCCGCTCGCGCCGGGAGCGTCGCGCGCGCGCCCCGACCGCGCCGTGTTCCAGTGGTCGCGGACGTGCCGTCGGAAGGCTGGGGTACGTCCAGTAATCCACACAACACGCGGCTGAACTCGGGCCAGGTCAGCGTCCCTGGCGCCCAGCGGCGGCTGCTGCGGCGAGGTGCGCCAGCGGCGCCAGCGGCGTCAGGACGCGGAGAACCGAGCTGGAGTTTCTGCTAGCTGCTATGGCGTGGCCTGCCTTATCTCTAACTCCATGCAGTCGGCCCCGTTCATTATTCTCGACATGGTGTATGAGGAGAATACGAGCTACAAATATCAGGTGAGCCACAGAGGTCACGGGCCGTCGGGACGCGGCCCTGGAGCCCAGATGCTGTTGGCAGATAAGGCAAGGAAGTTACGACTGCTGCCACCACACAGGACCGGTTGGCGCTCGGGAGATCCGGCTGCAACTGGTAGACAGGGACCCCCCCCCCCCCCCCCACGGGCCAAAGGTCCGTCAGGAGACGTGATCTGTTTGAGGTGTTTCATGCCAGCCAGTGCCTTCAGGGTGATCTCAACTGCACTAAAAGGTCAAGTTTTTGAGACTGTCCCCTATGTTGAAGCAGTGTTTCTAGAATGGGCGAAGCGTGCAGCAAATATCGAGCTGCTTGTGTGGTAGACTGCTTGTGCCTGTGGGGCTTGATAGCTGCTGTTGATGAATTGCCTGATGACCGTGACTTGATGACCTGATGATGCGATTGATTGAGCAGCCAACATCAATCTTACGTCTTTAAATGAAATGGCATTCGCAGTAAAAAAAGAAGAGTTTCGCCTCATATACTGATTTTTAGACGAAAACGGTCCCGACCACGTAGTATGGAAAATGACGTAATATCATACGTCAGTTGAAACCATCATGAAGCATTTAAACGGTCGCGCTATGGGCGGAGCTATTAGGCTAACCAATCACAATGCGCAGGATCGCCTTACGATCACAGAACTGCGTCATGCACATGCGGCTGGTTAAGCGCTGAAAATAACTTTTAAAAGGAGGTATCGAACCACATTACGGTTGGCATACATTATTTTAGCTTCTTCGGGAACTGATTGCATGATCTGAATTGCTATTTCCTAGACGCCCAGACTCAAACAAAGATGCGCCTGCTAGCTCCACTTTACCAACCTGGCTAGGCTGACGCAACGCGCGTCACTCGGCCGAGAGCGACGACACCCAGGTCGGCAGACCGGGTTATGTGCGGCCTACTGGACGGCATCCTACTAGACACGTAAAGCAGCGTGTTTGACACCGAAACGAGGAATTTGCTGTTGCTGTTGCATCTATGCTGCTGGTTACGTGTTTCCGCACATTGTGATACATTTTTGATACGATAGGAGTAGCGCTTTCTAAAAAGTGTTTTGCGAATTTGCGTTTGTATGAGAGACAAAGGCTGAGATTCTCCACCAAGTCGGACGCAGGGCAGAGTAGTGAGGTGCTGGCAGAGTTAATAACCGGCATGTCAACCCACGTGTGGATCTTGCTGCCACTCCCTTCCAGTCTTGCAACGTTGGTTCCCTAACCGCGCGCGAGTTTCGACGGGGTCGTACACTCAGTCTTTTACCATTGGCATGCCTTCCATCGACTGTGTGATTCCATTTCCAGATGTTTCCGCCCTTTGGAAACAACGTGGGAGGCGATGAACTTCTCGCTGGATTTCGTGTTCGCCTCGCCTTCGTGAAGCAGATCCGTGAAGTTTTCGTGTGCCAGCTGCAGCACTTGGGCGCCATATTGCGGTGGATGCTCGTGATTCCATACTCAGCAGGGGCGCGTGATGAGCGGGCCGGGTGCCCGAATAGCGCCAAATACGTGTGAATGACTCAGGGTCAAGGACTTGTACAGTGCACTGGTCATCTGGGGTGGAGCGACTA